TTTATCTAACAGTTCTGCGTTTGACGTTTCTATTTTGGAGTAATCGATAATGGATTTGGTTCTATATAATTCTAGAAATTTATCGAATTCTTCGGACATCTTTTCTATTCCTTCTTCTGTGTCTTCTTTTTCTTCTTCGTCTTCATCTGTCTCGGTTTCATCTCTGTTAGATGCGTGCAGGGCAAGTTTTGATTGAAAATCTGCACAGTCCTTAAAATGGTTTATTTTTATTCTGGAGAGTGCATCTGCGTTTCTGTTGATTTTTCCTGAACGGTGCTCTATTTTGTAATTAATTATATTCTTCAAGTTTTAGGCGCCAGCGTGCTAGGCGGCTTTCTGGGTCTTTGATTGAAAATAGCCAAGTAAGAGGTCGATGATCAGTGATAAGAGTAAACTTGCGACCGAAAAGATATGGTCTGAAATGTTTTACTGCCCATACTATAGCTAGTAATTCTCTTTCTATTGTGGAATATTTGGTTTCTGCACTGCATAATGTTCGTGATGCATAAGCGATTGGCAGATCTTTTCCTAATGGGCCTTGTGACAAAACGGCTCCAATTGCGAAAGCACTAGCGTCAGTAGTGAGTAAAAAGGGTTCTTCAAAATTTGGATATATGAGAATTGGGTCTGTCATTAGAATATTTTTGAGATCGTTGAATGCTTCCTTACATTCGGCATTAAAAACAAAAGGGACTTCTTTTTGAAGTAATTTAGTCAGTGGTTTGGAAATTTTGGCAAAATTCGGTATAAATCTGCGGTAGTAACCTACTAGGCCTAAAAATGATTTTATTTCTTTAGTTGTCTTGGGTTCTGGGAAACTTTTTATGCATGATACCTTGGCAGGATTTGTTTTTACTCCGTGTTCAGTTACGAGGTGTCCTAAGTATGCGACTTCTTTTCTTAAGAATTCACATTTATCCGGTTGTATCTTCAGATTTGCTTTTCTTAATCTTTTAAATACTTCTGTCAGTCGTGACATATGCTCATGAATGGTGGCTGAATAGATGATTATGTCGTCCATATATACTAAACATCTCTCGTTTTGAATTCCTAAGAGGATGTTATCCATTACTCGTTGAAATGTGGAAGGAGCATTCCTTAATCCGAAAGGCATACGAACAAATTCGTAATGTCCGTTGTCTACTGAAAATGCTGTTTTTTGGATATCTTTTGGATCGATTTCAATTTGGTGGAATCCGGACGCCAAATCTAATGTTGTAAAATATTGACACTTTCCAAGTTGGTCCAACAATTCTGAAATTTGTGGAAGTGGATAACGATCTTCTATTGTAACTTCATTAAGTTTACGATAGTCAATAACGACTCTCCATTTCTGTTTGCCAGATGCGTCAAGTTTTTTGGGTACCACCCACACTGGACTTGACCAGGGCGATATGCTATGCCGAATTATTCCTTGCTCTAGCATTTTGTTGGTTTGCGTCTTTACCTCTTCTTTATGAACCTGTGGATATCTGTAAGATTTCGTGTATATCGGTTTCGCGTTGTTCGTTTTGATTGCGTGTTTAATTTCATTTGTGAATGTTAGCTTGTCACCTTCTACGTAAAATATATCTGAAAATTCCGTACAAATGTTTAGAATTTGTTCCTTTTCTTCTGAGTTTAAGTGGTCAATTCTCAGTTGTTCTCTAATTATTTCTTCTCTGTCTATAATTGGCTGTTCGCAGTGATTTTGATCGTAGGTGAAGATTGTCTCCAAGTTTTCGATAGGTTCGATGGAAATATTCGAAAATTCGATTATTTTTGGCATTGCATTAGCATTAATGACGGAAGTTAAAAAGTCTCCATTTTCGTCTACATGGACTAATGCGTGAGGAATTCGAACTTTTTCGATTTCTTGGGATGACAGTATGGCGTCTGTAGTGGATAGGTTGCATTTCAATTTGAATATTTGTTCTGTTCGGCTATCAATCGAAATTTGGTTTATTTTTTCTTTTATTCGTTTTTTCTCTGATCTTGGGATGTGTTTGTGTTGATCATGAGTGTTTTCGTGAAATGAGCTGCTATTGTGTTGAGCTTTAACGTTTGAGTTTGATTTCGGATATGTTTGGAAATTATTTGACGGTACTATTTTTGTAGGAAATGTAACCGGAATATTTTCTATGGGTTTATGGGTCTCTTGTCCGACTTTATGCAGGGTAAGAGTTTTAAAATTTGTATGAAGTTGCCTTTTTTTAAGGTCTATTACACATTCGTAGTGGTCTAGGAAATCTAGGCCTATTATGCCGTCAAAGTCAATGTCTAGATTAAAAATGAAAACTTTGTGAGGGTTGTCATCGGTAAAGGGAATAAGGACAGATTCTGTAATTAGAAGTTTCTCGTCGGTTATGCCTTGAATGGTAACATTTTCTGGGGATCGGTTATGATAATTTCGTGCAGTATTCTCTTTGAAAACTGTAATTCCTGCACCGGTGTCAATTAGAAGTTTAAAAGTATTCGTAGCGTCATTGATATAATATAAGTTTTTAGAGCTCATTGTGTGGAAGGGGCTTACAGGAATTTCTGTTCGGGGAAATTCACATTTGGATCGAAATTGTCCAAATTGAGGGCTTGGATTTGTTGTTGTACATTCGTGATATCGGTTGAAAGATTCGTATGTACTGGGGGATGGTTCTGATTGGGTAGCGAAAGAAAATCCTGATAATTTTCTGTATCAGGTGTATTATTAATAAAATCAGATGTGTCATTGGTATATTCGTAAAAATAGTTAGTTTGAAGATCATTTTCTGTATAATAATCTTCATAAGATTCTACAAGATCGTCAGGGTATTCATTAAAGACATGGGCTCTTTGCTGAAAATTTTGGAAATTTGGATTTCTCTGAATAACAGAGGGGCGATTCTGCGGTTGATTTTGAGAAGGGAAATTCGATCTCTGTGGGTTTAAATTTTGTTGATTAGAAGAGTATTGGTTTTGATTGCTTGGGTAATTTTGTGATCTAGTATTATATTGATTGGATTGGTTTTGATTATTTTGGTAGTTTTGTGGTCTACCGCTATATTGATTTTGATAAGAAAAACGTGATGAGCGACATTCGCTACTTAAATGGCCAATACGACCACAACTTGTACATTTAGAAAAATTAGATGAGGTTCTTCTCATCGGTTGGGAAGATTTTGGATTATTTTGGCTATCTTTATTTGATTTTTGAGATTCGAAATACGATAACTGAAGTTCACGTCGGATACGGTTACTGGCTTCAATAAGGTCTTTAGGGTTACTGGCCCTAATTATTTGTCCTAAGCGGGGTTCTAGTCCAGTTAAGAGAGTATTCAAAGCCATAGAGTCAATTAACGTGCATTGGGCGGTTTTTTGGTCTTGTGTTAGGCCTGATTTTTGAATTGAGGCGTGCATGTTTGCATTTAGAACTTGTAATCTATTGAAAAAGGTTAAAGGTGATTCGTTCGATAACTGTCGAAGTCTTTGTAGGTCGTGAATTAAGGAAGTGAGATCTCTACTATCTCCGAAATGAAGGTTTAATAAATTTTTTATGTCTGTGTATGAAGTTGGTTTTCTAGAGTTTATTAATTGAGCTGCTTTACCTTTTAGTTTATTTTTAATGTGAATCGTTAATAAAATACGTTGGTCTCCCGAAGACATTTTAATCGCGCAATCACATGCGTCTAAGAATGTAGGAAGAGAGATTGAGTATCCTTCAAACTCAGGAATTATGGAGAATATTTCTGAAAGTTTGTATGGTTCAATTTCAACTTGGGTTTGTGAACGTGTTTCAGGCATTTTGATAATAATATGTTAGTGGAAGTATAAAACAAATATACGAATAGTAAATATGGTAAAATAAAATAAAATGTAGTAAAATCAAGTAAAATATGGTAAAATCAAGTAAAATGTGGTAAAATAAAGTAAAATATAGTAAAATATCGGTGAAAATATAATAAGAAATCAATAAAATGTGTAAATAAGAATGATAAAATAATAAAAGTATGCAATAAAAAGGTATTTCCTTATTAGATAATCAACTTGGCTTGACTTTCTGTATAGTCAAGATTATAAATTGAAAAAATTATGATGTATGTACGGTATGTTTGCAAATATAAAAATAGTAAAAACGAGATGATTCAATAACTTACATTAACAGAAACATCGAGTACGTCTTGTTTTCTAACGGGATCTGCTACCAGGGGCTTCACCAGGTGTACCTTCCGTAGTATCCAGTTGAATGAGGACGGCTCTAGGTTCTTTTTCCGTTGAGGGATAGGGATCCGCCGTTGCTAGTGAGTTTCCTTGTTCTAACAACGTTAACCAGATCCTACTGACTGCGCCAAATGTTAAATCACTGACTTCTTGATTGACTTTTTAAAAAAGATTTATTTCACAAATAAAAGTTACACTTAGTTATACGATAAAATGAAGCAAATGAAATTATATAATACAAATGTTATTAGTAAGAAACTTATATGACGAGTGAAAAATATAATGTTAGTCCTGAATTTATAATCTATCTACAAAATGTGGTGTCGGCATTTCCCACGAAAGGCCAGCTTTGGTCAGAGTTTGATGTCCGTGCATAGTCAGCTATCTCTATGGGAACGCTTGCTAAAAGAATGATGAAATAGGAACTGATATTGCGAAACCAAAGTGTCGGTAACCCTTGAGTGGTTCAAGGTGACTATTTTCACATATAACATATATATATATATATATATATATATATATATATATATATATATATATATATGTATATATATATATATATATATATTTATATATGTATATATATATAGTAGAAGATTAAGTAGTTATTTCATTTGGCTAATACATACAATACATAAACGTTTTGCGATTTTATAAAATTATCTACAATATCTTGTACCTTATTAAAAACCTGAAATGGTATACTAATTTATGTTTTAAGAATTCCATTTATATAATACATACTTTTTTGCAACATTCTATTTAACCTATAAAATATTTATTTATATCATTTTCAAGCCTGCTATTTTATACTTGTCATTACCAACCTGTTTTGTACTTAGCATATGCACAGCCAGAGGTGCCACATCCAAACGGATATGGTTTTTCGCGATAAGGGCACAAATCTTGCTTACATGGAATACTTTCACAGCTCTTTCCTTTCGATTCTTTAGGTTCTTCCGGTTGTTTTAGTTGTTTACAGTAATCTCTACACTGATCTTCTATCACATTGGTAGCAAAGGGGCATGTCACTTCTCCACAAGGTCCTAAATTAAATTTATATTAACAAAATTTTAATCAAAGTTTGATTAAGTTTTTAAACTGTTTGAATATTTTATCTATAAATGAATTGTTTATAAAAGTTTCACACTTCTAGACATCCTTAAATTCTTAAAAGAAGCTCGATAACAAAATAGAAGTCGAAAAAATTGGACACGAAAGTGAAAACAATCTGAAGAGCCATAAAAGAAATAAACTAGAGATCACGCACGAATTCCGAACACTCACAGCAAAGCCACTCTTTTTCATGGAGGATATTAACCAAAATATAGCTAACAAAAAGTGAAAAAAACAATACAGAAGTATAATGAACCCAGATAGAAAGTACCACTGATCTCCATGGGTTGTTTAAAATCTATGAATAAAATTACCGAAAAATATCTATTGAATTAAGAAGCAACGATTCAACTGACCATCTAAAATCTAATATTTAGGTTGATGGTTTAGATGGGTAGTTCCCATTAGCAATTCAAAAAATTTAAGACCAGATTCTTCTAAATAATTTTCAAAAAATCGATTTTTTTTTTTCAAAAGTTGATAGAAAATACTTTCAGATATAGTGTATAATTAGGCGCGATCTTGAAGTAGATAGAGAAGAGGGGAGAGTGATGCGCACCAAGCAGTTAATTCAACCAAAGAAGTGGGCCGCGTTACGGCCCAGAAAAATTACTATTGAATAAAATATTTAAAGAAGAGAAAATGTCAGTACTGGGAGATAGGGCAGATAATAACAATACATAAAATGGTAGACTAACAAAGGACCTTGGCACTTTTCTTATTTAAAAGTGGCTTCAATTAAATTGGCTCAAAACTCGCCACCATTAGTTCGCATATGGGTAAAGGTCTCAATTTTTTTAAAAGAAAAAAAGGTACTCCACTGAGATTTTCCAAATTTAAAATCATTTTAAAATTCTTCATTTCATTTTTTTCAATTTTTTTTATATGAGACACTGTTTTTATGCAAAAAAAAAATTAAACATCCTAACGAATACTTTTCATCCTTACACTATAAATGTATGCTCAAGAACTATATAATACAATAACCTTAAACCAGAACAATAACAGAAAGTACCACTATTATAATTTTAGACGCACAGCTACAAAAAATGTTCAAAATTATCTCCCTGAAACGTGACACAAGTTGCAACTCTTATCCTTATTAGTTGTCGTGATCTTACATTACATTAATATTCCTTATGATTTCTTATTTACATAGTGTTCCAGTTAAATGGGCTGAAATTATGCAGAGAGGTAGAGATAGTACAAACACTCCTGATCATGGAGCTCCGTGAAAGCGAAGTCAAAATTCACGTAACGGCAGAAAGATTCTATTGTAAGTAGAATTATGCTAACCAAACTGAAACGTTCTACCATTCACGTTGTATAGTACAGTGCGTTTCGCATGGAAGTGGTGATTAAACCAAATTTCTTCTACTGCGCCGTGGTCAGGAGTAGTTGCACTATCTCTAGTTTTGGTCATGCTCATCAAAATCTAGTAGATATAGTACTTTAAAATATCGATTTTTAGTCAACTTTTCAAAATTATGAATTTGGAAACGTACCGTCCCACACATTTAATAAACGGCATCTGAATCTCAATAAACACGAATATAATAGCGGAATGTCATTTCTTAATGTTTTTCTATCAAAAACAAAGTGAGGTTTCCTAAGTATAGGAACCCACCAAGATATATCTGCGTGGATATATCTTGGTGGAATATCCAGATACCTATGTTTCCAAATTCATTATTTTGAAAAATGAACTAAAAACATTGTTCTAAAGCTATTTTCTTGTGACATTTTAAATTAATTACTATTTAACTGGGAATAAGCCACAATTAAAGATAAAAATACGTTTATTGACGTTTCAATTTCCACTTCGGAAATCGTTCTCAAAATACAAACAGTAAATTAAACAAATTTTGTTTTTTGTTACATAGTGAAAAATTCTTCTAATAATTTAATTTTAGCTGACTCTTTTATATTGACAATTCAGACATTCATTATGCATTTTAAAGTAGATGACTTTAAAATGATATTGCCAATATTGTTGAGTTGCGCTCCTGGGACGACTTTACTTATAAGATAGTTCATTCGATTACATGAAATCAACTTTAACTTGAGAATATTCGTCAGAAAAAAATCATAGCATGTAATTCGTCTTTAAAAAGACAAACACATGACATAATGACAGTAAAATTCTCCTGTTAGTGATTCCATAGTAAATTATGAGGGAAAAACCAGGAAAAAAAACTCATAATACTATCCCGACATGGTAAGTATTTGTTCGTGCATTTAGTTTCCCTTCAATAAACACCAAAATTCTGATTTTATATGTTTCGTTATTTAAAAAACATACATGATGTATCCTCTATATGTTACTGACTTACTAATACTGGTATTTTCTTTTTAATAACTTCCTCTTTCAATATTGGTAACCAGATCCTACTACATTCTACCGACGAATTTGCGACACAATTGGCCTTATTTAGCATAATGAAAGCCGTTTCTTTGTCAACCATTTTCCATCCACTCCTGAATGTAGGTCTCTCCCAATTGCTTCAATCTTTCTATATCTTGCGCCAATCTAATCCACTGTTTGCCTGCCACTGCTCTTATGTCATCTACCCATCTTTTTTGAGGTCTTCCCATGCTTCTTGTTGTCGTTCTTGGTCTCCATTCTAGAATTCTCCGAGTCCACCTGTTTTCATTATATCGGGCTACGTGACCTGCCCAGCGCCATTTCATTTTTGTAATTTCTTCCACAATATCCCTAATCTTCGTTCTACGTCTTATCTCGGTGTTTCTAATCTTGTCTCTTAGTGATATTCCAAGCATGATTCGTTCCATTGCTCTTTGCGTTGTTTCTAATTTTTTGGCAGATTTTTTGGTAAGTGCTACTGTCTCCAAGCCGTAGGTACAAACTGGTAGTATGCATGTGTTATATACCTTTTTCTTTAAGTTTATAGGAATGGGGGTGTTTTTCAAGATATGTGCTAGTTTGCCGAAAGCGCCCCAAGCCAAGTGCGGCGCGAAATGATGTGGGCGCAAAATGGTGTGGACGCAAAGTTGTGTGGACGCAAAATTGTGTGAGCGCAAAATGATGTGGGCGCAAAATGGTGTGGACGCAAAGTTGTGTGGACGCAAAATTGTGTGGGCGCAAAATGATGTGTTCGCAAAATGGTGTGGGCAAAAAATGGTGTGGGCGCAAAATGGTGTGGGCGCAAAATGGTCTGGGCAAACAATGGTGTGGGCGCAAAATGGTGTGGGCGAAAACAGGTGTGGGCGCAAAATGGTGTGGGCGAAAAATGGTGTGGGCGCAAAATGGTGTGGGCGCAAAATGGTGTGGGCGAAAAATGGTGTGGGCGCAAAATGGTGTGGGCGAAAAATGGTGTGGGCAAAAAATGGTGTGGGCGAAAAATGGTGTGGGCAAAAAATGGTGTGGGCAAACAATGGTGTGGGCGCAAAATGGTGTGGGCGAAAACAGGTGTGGGCGCAAAATGGTGTGGGCGAAAAATGGTGTGGGCGAAAAATGGTGTGGGCGCAAAATGGTGTGGGCGAAAAATGGTGTGGGCGCAAAATGGTGTGGGCGCAAAATGGTGTGGGCGCAAAATGGTGTGGGCGAAAAATGGTGTGGGCGAAAAATGGTGTGGGCGAAAAATGGTGTGGGCGCAAAATGGTGTGGGCGCAAAATAATGTGGGCGAAAATTGGTGTGGGCGAAAAATGGTGTGGGCGCAAAGTGGTGTGGGCGAAAAATGGTATGGGCGAAAAACGGTGTGGGCGAAAAATGGAGTGGGCGCAAAATGATGTAAGCGCAAAATAACGTGGGCGCAAAATGGTGTGGGCTCAAAATGGTGTGGGCGAAAAATAGTGTGGGCGAAATATGGAATGGGCGCAAAATAATGTGGGCGCAAAATAATGTATCTAATTATTTGTTAACGGGTTTTTACCCATATATTAAGTAGCTACATTCATGTACTCCTAGATACTGATGATGGAATATGGATTCCGAAAACGTCTTGTATAATTAGCCCGTTGGGGTTTTTAAATATATACCTTATAACAGCCACCTGTATATTAACCACTAATCTCCCATACTATGCACCCACTAATCTCCCGTACTATAATCTTAGTGGCTGCGTCGACTTCTCGAGCCGACACGAAGCCCCCCGAGAGAGGCAGTTAAAAAAAAAGAACAAGCCAACGAATAAACATCTCCGCGCTGACTTTTATTTTTTTGTCAACTTTAATGTTCTAACATCTCAATATAACTTACAATAACAAGTGTTTAATGTGTATTTCGTGTACCTACCCCAAAATTCCCCTTATAACCTTTTATAAAGGTTTTTTAATATTTTTTTTTAATATATGGTATACAGCCAACTACAGGAACGTAGATTCCTTGGGTATTAATATATTATTATTGGTAGAAAGGAAAACGCTGCACGAGAGGCATTCGTAGAACTAAAAGAATCAGCTACCAACTAAACGAAGTATATGAAAATAAGTACGCAACTACAACTCCTACGACCACTTGTTATAGAAAACGACGTCATTGAAGCAGTAAACAAATTTGTATACCTGAGAGCGTTTCTTAACACTAAAAATAATACTACCGGAGAATTTGCACGGCCAACAGATGCTATTTTGCGCTCAATCTCCTTAAACTCACAATTATATCGAGAAATACAAAAATAAAACTCTACAAAACAATAATACGGCCACTCCTGACATATGGTCCAGAGACCTGAACTCTTAGTTGATGGATTCGACCGTTACTTGATGGAAATTCATTTTATGTAACATTAAAACACTGAAAACTTTGTTTTTAAACTTCCACAAAAATTATTTTAAACTATTATCACTACAGTTGTTTCGGCTGATTGCCTTTCTCAAGTGATCTATTTTTGGCATGCGTTTATACCTTATAGTCTCTAATGAAATAGGTTGAGGAGGGGAGAACTGTTTGTCATAAGTTGGTCATACAGAATTATATCTGTGTTTTTTAATTTGTTGATTACCATAGAATCTTTTTCCTAGAATCCCTCTTACAGAAACTTTTATTCTAGTAAAAAAACTTTTTAGACCAAACTAGTACAAATCCAATAATTACATCTAAAATTTTACATCTTCTTGAAGTTTGCATAAACCAGGACTACTTTGAATTTAATAATCAAATATACAAATAACAGTGCAGGACTTTTAATGTGCAATCCTCTAAGCCCATTGCTATCAGATATTTTTAGGGACCATCTAGAGACAAAGATTTCAAAACATCCCGTATTTAAACAGTTTTGATATTGGTGGAGATACGTATACGACGTACTAGTATGTTTCGCAGGAACTAACAGGCAACTCGACCAATTTTTATCGTATATTAATTCACTTCATAGTCACATTGAATTTACAATAGAAACAGAACAAAATCAATCCATAAATTTTTTAGATTTAAAAATTATTAGACTTAAAAACAAACATGACTTCTCCATATTTCATAAACCTACCCATACTGACCCGACTATACACAATTCATCATCCCATCTAACACAACATAAACTGGCAGTCTGTCATAGTATGTTACATAGATTAACAGAAATTACGATGTCAAAATACAACTTTTGAGACAGAATTAAATATTATTAAGCAAATAGCAGTAAACAACGGATACAACCAACAAATAATTAATAAAATGTTAAATCAGAAACTACACAAGAAAGTCCTGAAATTAGTATTTCCACCACCAGAGAAAAAACCCAGTACCTTCTGCTCTATTACATATACAGGCAAAATATCAACAAAAATAGCAAAACACATAAAAATGAAAGGAATAACACCAGCTCTCCGAACAAATAATAACCTAGGCAAATATACTAAAAACAACAAGAGCCAAAATAAAAAATACTTACACAGCGGTGTGTACAAACTTAAATGTGGCGACTACCCAAAAACTTACATCGGTCAAACTGGTAGAAACTTTAACAAACGAACAGCAGAACATAAAATGGATTTCAATAATAGAAAAACAGATTATACATACGCACTTTACCTTCTAGATCATAATTATTCTTTTAATGACGAATTTAAAATTCTTCACATTCAAAATAAAGGCCTTAAGCTATCTTTGTTAGAATCTATGGTAATCAATAAACTAAAAAACACAGATATAATTCTAAATGACCAACTTGAGACAAATAGTTCTCCCCTCCTCAACCTATTTCATTAGGGACTATAAAGTGTAAACGCATGCCAAAAATAGATCACTTGAGAAAGGCAATCAGCCGAAAGAGCTGTAGTGATAATAGTTTAAAATAAAATTTGTGTTATTAATTTATTTATTATTATGTATTTAAAATAAAATAAAGTTTGAAAACAAAGTTTTCAGTGTTTTATTGTTACTTATTAGGATGTTTCGAAAGCAAATTAATAAATCGAATCTGGAGCAGTGAATGACCACATGTAATGTGGAGAATACGATACGACTGCGAACTTTATAGAATGTAACGGGACCAGAGATCGTAAAACATATTAAAATAGGACCTCTGAGGTGGATAGGGCATAATTGGGAATTGATATGTGAGAGGATTTATTTGTTTTGGTAGGGATCTTGGACCTCGATCTACATATCTGCAAAGTTTCAGATAATTTTTACATAAGAAAAAATACCAGTGATGATTTAAAGAAGAATGGTAAACAATAGATATTATACACACAATAAAAAAATATTGGAAAAATCACATGAATACAAATTTAAATTGGAAATGCTATTTATAGACATTTAGTTATCATTTATAAAGTTGATATTGTTTATTAGTAAAATAATGCATTGCTTGGTATGATAATGAAATTTTTTTAACAATTCTAGCTCATACACCTTTAATTACTAAATAAATGTAATAGTTTTAAATAAAAGAGACTAAAACTAAATATAGCAATAATTACCCAAAGCTTTTTTATACGCATTTACGACTTGATCAAATTGATCCATAATAGACTTGCATTCGGTTATTGCAGATTTTGGAGTTATACATCTAGACGTCACTGGCTCTTGATTAAAAATTCCTCCCCCTCGTATTCTATTATTTCTGAAAGAATTCAATAACGCATTGGATTCTTTTATGAGATTTTCATTCGTTCTAAGGAGAATAGAGTGATTCTGTTCAATCGTGGGCATACCACCACCCCTCAGGCGAAGAGTTCTAGATTGATCTGCAAAATTAGGAAAAAATTGTTAATACTACTCACTATTATTATTATATTAAGATAATAATACTGAAGTAGTAAACTTAATATTATTTTATTATCATTTTGATCCTAAATGCATCCCTTAACGAGAACAAAAATGATGAAACAAATCTTATTTATATCTGATTATATTTTTACAACGGATTATCTAAATTAAATGTTTAACATACAATTAAATATTAAACATTAATAAACTGTAAGTATGACTTCTACGTCTATACTGATATTCATCTATTTGTTTATAAGTTGTGTGAATGTTGTTCTTTTTAATAAAATATTTATGAAAAAGTTTTTCACTCTTCGAAAATATCTACCTTTATACTTTCATACTATTTAAATATATACTTTGATTTAAATGTGCTTTTGGAAAATCGAACTGCTAATATAATTTATAATTTTTTGCCTTTCTTTTTTATAGAAGCTTTAGATCTGTGGAAAAATCTTGTACGTCTAACTACTACGTCCTATCAAAATTTTTAAACAGTAGGTATGACTAATTGACTCACGTTGACCTAGATAAAAACTAGATATTTGTGTCACTTTTAGTTTCTTTATAATCTAAAATTGTGAACAAATGTTAATTGAACGACACAAAATACCTGAACCTTACCGATATGTCCATAAGTTTGAGAGCATCGCTTATGGTCAAATGATCGATGAAGCAAAACATGAGACACGCCACCAAAATAATCTATTAAGCACAGGATTAAAATCCTCAAGGCTGATCGAAAGTTAGCAGAAATAAAAAAAATAAGACTCATGGTGTTCTTCGCCATTCCAGAATAGAACCAGAGACGGAACGATCATTGCAAGTTAAATGAAAGCGAATTAAGTTGTAAAGAAGAAATAAATACAAAAGAAGGTGGGCAGAAAATTCTGCTGAAGAAGTGCATGTCACCGACGAACATTAAAGAATGAGATAATTACATAATATCATTACACAACTATCCAACATAAAATATGTCACTCGCCAACTAATTGTAAAAAAGCAATACAAGTGATGAACACCACAACAGAAACAGGTCAAAAGATGGGATAAATATTTCCATGAGTCTCTAAGTGCAATCCCAACACTACCACAAGATGGACAAAATATAATAGTACGAGAGCTACTGAAGTAACGTGGTGTCTGTAAGACAAGACATTCTTATAATGATAAGTCATAGCATCCTAAGTACGTTGACCATCACCTGGAACGCATGGGCCCTGCACGTCATCAATCCCTATATTTTTAAAAGTGTAGAAAACAATTTAAAAAGAAACTTGTTCCTGTAAGCATGAAATTTTTATATGGTTTTGTGTATTCTTGTAAAGTTAAAAAAAAATGACAGGCGTTTTTAATGAGCACAAATGCCTGACAAGTAAACAGAAAGGTGTGTCATATATAAATGAAAATAAACTTTATTCTGTAAAGTTGAAATTTATATATGTGTTTGTTTAAACGATTTAAAGTAAGTAGGTAAAATGAGCGGTTCGGGCTAATATAAGTCCTTGCCAGGTGAGGAAAAAGATGCTACGAGTGTGCAAGTAAGAGGCGTAACTTGAATATAGTTGGTGGGAATAGGACAGTTTATCTAACAACAAAATTTATAGGACGTATACCTGTAGAGGTGGGCTAAACATCACTACCCTGTAATTTAAAAGACCTGTGAATAACAACAAAATATACTGTGTCTGTGATTTCGGTCTTATTCTATATTTCTAGTTCTTGATCACTATAACGTGATATATCACGTTCTCGTCTCAGTCGCAAAGTTGTGAAATAAGAGACGTGTAACAGGATAACAACGAACGAGATAGAGGTAGTCAGCGCGTCGGTAGTATAGTGAAATCTCTTTCGAATTAGGTAAAGGTTTTAAAGAATAATTAATTAGATTTTTCTTTATTTATAATGTATATTATAAAAAAATTGAATTTCCAAACGTATTATAAAATTGTTTTGTTTTTTGTACTGAACAAATTCTAATGTAGTTATAAGGATCGAATCGTTTTGTAATGCCCCTTTGTCCGCTTTTTCTCGATCGACGATAATAAATACAATAATACGTTGAAGTTGTGGAGTAAAAATTACAGCTACTAAATTACACTATGGATGTTGGTTAAGTAATTATATATAACAGACTGTCCTCAAATGAGCTCAAATCCGCAATTTATAATCTCACAAATAATTTATACATCAGCACAGAGATTAATGCTTCTACCACAATTATTGCGATCTTTATATATTACAAATACCTGGCAAAATACTGACTTAAAAGTGCCAACGGTTCTTAAACCTGAAGATAATGGTTGAAACTTAATTAATGAAAACTACATTTTTAATTGGTTTGCTGGGGGTACAGTTCCTTATTTTATCTACGAAATATTATTCCAACAGCCTATTAATACTGCTGATACTGAGTCAATTGAAGCTGAAGAACACATTACAGGTAATACAGAATTTTTTAATTTCATAAAAATATTTGGAATTCTATATATTTGAGCGCAAGATCCGAGATGCAATGTATTATGATTAAAATATTAAAATTCTGTTTCTTTTTAGATGATGAAATCATTAATAATGTCAACAATATACATTAAGAAATCAACGATACAATACGTTACATTCTTTTTCTGATTTTTAAAAACCTCTGTTTTGAAACCAAATGGTTTTATTTTAAAATAACATGACAAATCATATATACCATTTTTCAAAGTAAAACACTTGCACATCAACCTTAGAGTTCAAACTTTCCTAACACAGCTAATAATACAAAACCCATACGGAACTGCTCGATCTTTCATAGGCGTCAACATGGTGTAATAATCAGAAAAATGTAATCATCATTATATTGGAAATTTTAGAATTCTATTGATTATATAACCAAAAACATTCGTAATTATTAATAATATGAATTTTATGAAATAACCCTTTAAGTTTACTATTCCACAAAATAATAATTTTAATTAAATATATTAGACAATTGTACGCAACTGATACGGAAATACTTCAAATTTTATTAACAGTTTAGCGCGTGGTAAGAGTATATAAAGTGTTGCATCTTTTTAAGAGTACGAATTTTGTTTATGTTTTGATTTCTTACACAATTTGAACATAATATAATATATATTAATAAATTCTATTTATAAATACATTTAGTTTTGTACTATTTAATAGTTTTTACTATTAAAGCCCTAAAAGAGGTAAATTTAAAATTTAGAATATTTAATTGTGTATTAAAATGTTTTCCTATGTATTTTAATGTGTTGCAGTAGTCTTAAAACTAAGTGTATTTACTATTAATATAATAGTTTGACAAATAGTTGACATTTTAAAAATTCCTCACTTACTAAATATTCTGATGTTTTGGCAACGTTGTAGGGTTCCGACAACGTAAATCTTGAATGGCGTGCAAGCTTTTTTATATGAAAAATGCTATATAGTTATCACACATAAATAGTTGTGATCAATCTTAAAAAAATATAAATAAAACTAAAAATATTCAGAAATTATCTGTTTGATAAATACCTTTTTTAGGAAATGGATAGTTATGTTTACATGTTCTTAAACATCCCTCTCTATCTAATAATTTAGAATGACTGCATTTTGCCTGTTTGCAGGTGCATGTATTTAGTGACACTTTGCTTTCATTTTCTGTCTTAAATTTTTGGGCTGGGGGATAATACGGTTGATCCGGATCTTTAGGCCTTCTAAACACACCATACGGTCCATAATGTTCGAAACTTCCATAAGTGTTACTTATACCGTAAGTAACTGGAGGTTCAACGATATCGTATAAAGTTCCCAGACCTGTTGAATAAAGTTTTAAGCTATTAAATAAAGGGCTTATTGTTATATAACGATAAAATGATGATCGGGAGTAAATCAGTGTTAAAGTTTAAATAAAAATTATAAAATCAGAAACATATTTATTCTACATTTGACTGGTTTAATTGAAACAAGTATGTTATAATCTATAATACAAACTACAAACAAAAATACAATTCGCATTGGCTCAAAAACACGTAATTAACATTTTTACGTGGCTTGTCAAACTATGACAAAAAAAAACACTTTTTGATACACAGGAACCAACTAAAATTATGTTACTCTATCAATTCTGCTTCACCATCTTCATTTTGGTCAAGTGGAAGGGATTCAGTCGTTATTTTCTGTCATTTTTGTTGTAGTATACTGATGTGTTTAAAGTCATTTTGCTCCATTATTGTGATCTCCAAAAATTTTTTTTATTCGATTATTTCATAATATTATATCAGTCTGATGCAAAATATATGAATGGAGCATATTTCCGATGGTGTTTTTCTATGAGTGCACAGTCCCGATCTTATGGTAAGTGCGTGTGACCGCTAACCAGGAAGTAGTGTGTAATTTTTTTAATTTCCTTTTTTTATTTTCTCCCGGACAGCAGAAAAGCAATACACCAAGACAAAAATATAAAAGCACCTGGACCAGATCAAATTTCTCCTGAGCTAATTAAACTTTTGGACAAGAAAAGCATTACCTATTTTCTTTAACAAAATTTAAAACAAACAAATAATACCAGACGATTGATTGGAATGGCTGTTTATAACATAACCAAGAAAAATCAGGCCCATAAAATGCAGCGATTTTTGACTAATAAATTTGATGAGCCACACACTTAAGATACTTTTATGAATTATGCAAAATCAAGTATTCCAAGTTTCAACCTCCACAAGAAACTTAAATATACCTTCGGAACTAGGAAACTGAAAAATGCTCACGCATTTAAAAACACAGATGTAAAAATTTGTAATCACGAACAAGAGTGCAAAGAATGGGAGAGATACATCAGTGACCTTTTTGACGATAACTTTTGCGAAATTATAAACATACACATAATACATGTGACAACTAGTTAGACAGAGCACCCAGTATACTGCAATCAGAAGTCAGAAAACCAATACACCAAGACAAAAATATAAAAGCACCTGGACTAGATCAAATTTCTCCTGAGCTAATTAAACTTTTGGACGAGAAAAGCATTACCTACTTAACCATTTTCTTTAACAAAATTTAAAACAAACAAATAATACCAGACGATTGATTGGAATGACTGTTTATAACATACCCATACTATTTTGTATGGGTGTTTTCTTAAAAAAAAGCTGTGAGTTCCGAAACAACGTTTATGTTTGTTTTATATATTACAATCAAGTAGCCTCTATCCAAATTGGAGATAGTCGTAAAACTCCCCATCAAACGTATACTCTCAAAAACTCTTTAGGGAGGTTTTGGATGACAGACAAGAGGAGTAAAACTAGGCAGAGAAGTAATCAATAAGATCAGATAGGCTGACGATATAAACGTTCTTACAAAAAATCTATAAGAATAAATTAACATTTTAAAGATAAAGTGGATGATGGTTGGAAGGATTAATATAGATCAAGGTTTGCTTTTGCATAATAAAGAGATGATGATAAAATACGTAAACTGTTTTAAATACTTGATGGATTCGACCGTTTCTTGATGGAAATTCATTTTATGAATAAAAATAAATCAATAGAAAACAACATTGTGTTTACAAAAGCAGACAAAGGCAACACTACTATTGCTATAGATAAAATAGAATATAATAACAAAACAATAGAATTCTTAAATAATCAAAATATTGAAACTGTACACAAAGATCCGACAGAAAAATATCAAAAACAAATTAAGCTAGCGTTAGAAAATTCAAAATCAATAGTAAATCCAATAGAACAGAAATACCTTAATATCATGAACCCACAGCCTCCTAAATTATACTCTTTCATTAGACTACACAAACCGGATCACCTAATAAGACCTGTAGTTTCTTTTTATACAGCTCCATCATATAAACTTTCAAAAAAACTGCTAGAGATTATTTTAGAACACACTAAATTTTCACCTAAATTTACCATAAAAAATACAATAGAACTAGTTAATAAAATACAACATTTTCAATTACCTAACAACTAAAGATTAATTTCATTTGACGTAAAAAAATCTTTTTCCTAGTATCTCTCCTACAGAAACTTTTATTCTAGTAAAAAACCTTTTAAACCAAAATAGTACAAATCCAGTAATTACATCTGAAATTTTACATCTTCTTGAAGTTTGCATAAACCAGGACTACTTTGAATTTAATGATCAAATATATACAAATAACAGTGCAGGACTTATAATGGGCAATCCTCTAAGCCCATTACTATCAGATATTTTTATGGACCATCTAGAGACAAAGATTTCAAAACATCCCGTATTCAAACAATTTCTATATTGGTGGAGATACGTAACACTGGTATGTTTTACAGGAACTAACAGGCAACTCGACCAATTTTTATCGTATATTAATTCACTTCATAGTCATATTGAATTTACAATAGAAACAGTACAAAATCAATCAATAAATTTTTTAGATATAAAGATTATCAGACTTAAAAACAAACATGACTTCTCCATATTTCATAAACCTACACATACTGACACGACTATACACAATTCATCATCCCATCCAGCACAACATAAACTGCCAGCTTATCATAGTATGTTACATAGATTAACACAAATTCCGATGTTAAAATACAACTCTGAGACAGAATTAAATATAATTAAGCAAATAGCAGTAAACAACGGATACAATGAACAAACAATTAATAAAATGTTAAATCAAAAACTACACAAGAAAGCCCTGAAATTAGTATTTCCACCACCAGAGAAAAAACCCAGTACCTTCTGCTCGATTACATATACAGGCAAAATAACAACAAAAATAGCCAAACACATAAAAAATAAAGGAATAACACCAGCTTTCCTAACAAATAACACCCTAGGCAAATATATTAAAAATAACAAGAGCCAAAATAAAAAACACTTAAATAGTGGTGTGTACAAACTTCAATGTGGCGACTGCCCAAAAACTTACATCGGTCAAACTGGTAGAAAGTTTAATAAACGAATAGCAGAACATAAAAGGGCTTTCAATAATAGAAAAACAGATTCGACATACGCACTTCACCTTCTAGATCCTAATCATTATTTTAATGACAAATTTAAAATTCTTCACATTCAAAATAAAGGCCTTAAGCTATCTTTGTTAGAATCTATTGAAATCAACAAATTAAAAAATACAGATATAATTCTGAATGACCAACTTGAGACAAACAGTTTTCCCCTCCTCAACATATTTCATTAGAGACTATAAATTGTAAACGCATGCCATGTAAAGTTTTCAGTGTTTTATTGTTACATAAAATAAAAAATATAAAAACTTCTTACCTTATATTCCGCCAGTCTACCATACTTTTTATATCAGCTAAAAGAAGTTACTGACAATGATAATGAAGAAAATGAAAAAGAGAGCAAAGATTAGATTTCACGTACAAAGCGTTTATGTCTCTGTTTATACGCATTTCGGCCAAATAGGCCTCATTAGAACAGCTATTCATAGGCGTTCTCAACGTGAAAAATAAATTTTTTCTGTCTTTAAGAAGCATCTTTGCTGTCTTTTTCATTTTATTCAGATCTACTCTGTATGAGTACAAGAAACTAATTCGCTAAGGATTTCTGCTTAGTTGATTGAGACATGTCGTGGAATGCAAATTTTAGATTCCCCATGTCTCTTTTAACATCTTTCTCAACGTCTGTTTACCTTGCAATTTTTAGAAGGTTTAGATTAAAGCAGAAATCTGAATTGGTTTCGAAAACTATTTTTTACCTTTAACCTATTAACCTAATTTTTTATAAATATTTGTTTTTTTTTCTGTAAAATAATATATGTTTATGCATTCTAATGACTAACACAATCAAATAACAAGAGTTATGGTTTTCTAAAGTTAACTCAATATTTTTAATATTTTTTTAAAACTTAAACCCTATATTTACTACTATGACAACAAGTAAAAAACGTATACGTACCTAACCCTGTGGCAAGAGGACCAATACCGTATTTTTTAAATTTCTTAGCTGCTGGGCAATCTTTGTGTTTGCATAACTGCTTGTTCATTTTTTCCGCCGTTAATTCGGTTGCTTCTACTTCAGCATCATCGTGATAAGGATCGTCGTGCATTTGAACTTCATCTGTAAAATTCTAAAACAAGAGTTTTAAGCTCATTTAAAACTTCTAGTTGTTTTATTGTTCATACAGGGTGATAAACTTTTGTGATAAAGTCCATTACATATCTGTCATTATAGGAGATAACAAAAGAAGTTATTTACAAAAATTGGAAGTAGCTGCAAACTTGACATTTTGAAATTAGTTACAAATATGCTTCACCTTCAATAACACTGTACCGCATCAAAGGTATATTCTTTTAAGTAAACCATTCTATATTTTATTTTAAATTTAAAATCCGCTCCACTTCCTCATTAGAAGAACACAAATGTATTTTGTATTATCCTAGGTATTTAAAAAGTTAGTTTAACGCCCTATATAGTTAAAAAGGACGGAAGTGTATTATATTATTCCGGTAACAGCACAGAAGACTCGCATCACAAAAATGGTGTAGGTATATTAGTAACATCAGAACTGAGTAAATATGTGACCAATTTCGTATCCGTCTCGGATAGAATAATATTACTCCAAATAAATACTCAACCATTTAAAACTAACATACTTCAAATCTATGCCCCGACTGCAGATAGAAAATATGACCATGAAGTCGAGAAGTTTTATGATCAGTTTCAAGACATCTTACAGAAACTTAGTAAACACAAAATTTTATATATTATAAAATTGGGGAAGGTCGACTAGGCCAGACTGTAGGTCCTTATGGTTTAGGACAACCTAACAATCGAGGACAGAGATTGTATGAATTCTGTAAAGAAAACGATATGATCATTGCAAACACCTGGTATAAACTACCCAAGCGACGACTATACACTTGAAAAGCCCCATTTGATGTTGGAATAACCCTGAGTCTTCAAGAAATCAAATAGACTATATACTTGTAAATGAGCGTTTTGGAAATGCCGTCAAAACAGTCACTACATATCCTGGGGCAGATATTGGATCTGATCATCAACCAATCGTATCAGATATTAAACTAAGGTTAAAACGAATTCTGCGACAAAAACCTAAAACCAATGTACTTAACTTTGGGCGATATAAACATAAAACATAACTAATTACTATTTAACTGGGAATAAGCCACAATTAAAGATAAAAATACGTTTATTGACGTTTCAATTTCCACTTAGGAAATCGTTCTCAAAATACACACAGTAAATTAAACAAATTTTGTTTTTTGTTACATAGTGAAAAATTCTTCTAATAATTTAATTTTATCTTACTTATTTATATTGACAATTTAGACATACATTATGCATTTTAAAGTAGACGACTTTAAAATGATATTGCCAATATTGTTGAGTTGCGCTCCTGGGACGACTTTACTTATAAGATAGTTCATTCGATTACATGAAATCAACTTTAACTTGAGAATATCCGTCAGAAAAAAATCATAGCATGTAATTCGTCTTTAAAAAGACAAACACATGACATGATGACAGTAAAATTCTCGTGTTAGTGCTTTCATAGTAAATTATGAGGGAAAACCAGGAAAAAAACCTCATAATACTATCCCGACATTGTAAGTATTTGTTTGTGAATTTAGTTTATCTTCAACAAACATCAAAATTCTGATTTTATATGTTACGTTATTTAAAAAACATAAATGATATATCCTCTATATGTTACTGACTTACTAATACTAGTATTTTCTTATTAATAACTTCCTCTTTCAATATTGGTAACCAGATCCTACTACATTCTGCCGAGGAATTTGCGACACAATTGGCCTCATTTAGCATAATTAGAGCCGCTTCTTTGATTTTTCTTTTTTTACCATCCGTTTCTTTTAGGACTACATTTGAATTATTCCATTGAACCCTATGTTCATTATCCCATGCGTGTTTACATATTTGAGATCTATAGGAATATTATATTTCTAAAAATACAGATAATTTTTAGACACAACAATCATTCACCTACAAAGATTATGGTAGCTCTGTTTTGTTTTCCTACGTGCGTGATCAGTTGATCATCTGTCAAAGCGCTCCTTATAGTTCGTTGGCATTGCCAATATTCGAACATTTAATAGAGAAAAGAATAGCGGTTGGTACCGAAGTAAATTTAGCCTTCATCGACCTAGAAAAGGAGTATGAATCAGTTCCAAGTCTTAAATTGTGGAAAGCTTTACAACAACTCGACATTAGTCCATATCTTTTAGGAATATTCACAGAAATATACAGGGATAATACTACTTACCTATAAATCAAAAATAGGCTATCAGAGCCAATAAAAGTAACTAAAGGACTAAAACAAGGATGCAGTATGTCACCCTTACTGTTTAATTTATATTTTGAGGCAACTCTCCAAAATTGGAAAAACCACTGCCAGGGAATGGAAATCACATTACGTGCGACAGTCAACTGCACACAAGTAACAGAAGGGGGGTTTTAGTTGGTAGGCAGGATAATAAATACCTGAATCTTTGGCACTGCCATCGTTAGTACTTTAAATTAAATTAAAACCCAAATTTGAGTTACTCAAAATGGGGGTAGCATAAAAAAATTTCAAAATACCCCCTCAAACAAATTCTGGGTGCGCCACTGGCGCATTACAGCCTAAAAAATGTAAAATTTAAATGGACTATCGGTGCAAATAAAAAGTTTATCATCACGAGCCTTTTCAAAATCTAAATATTTGGATAATAAAATATGTATTACGGGAATTTGTCAATAAAACGATTCAATGTGTATTGAATTTGCACTTTTTTAAGTAATTATTATTACCACGTTTGCTACATAACTTATTGTTTGTAATAAAAAAGTTTTAGTTTCAGTATATGAAAAACTATCGTTTATTCTTGGTTTTTTGATTATTTTAAATATCAATTTTAAGTTGCTCTCTAATTTATTTTTTAGCATTTACTTTAATGAGTTTGCATAAGTTATGTATGTTTCTTTAAACACACACAACATGTGCATGTGTGCATAATGTTATATTAGTGTTATTTAATACACACATCACCATCATGTATGTAAAAAAATTATGGTAATAGGAAGTTTGATTATTAGCAATTGTTTTAGCTATAATAGTAATAATCATTTAGAACAAATATAAATATTGAGTTGAGAAATCGAACATTTTAGTATGATTGTATGAAAAATGTAACTTATTAAAAATATACTTACAGTTTTCTTGGGTTTATCAATAGCTACGGTAACAATAGTTTCCTCCTCTGTAGCGCATACTTCTGCCCTCATCATATTTAAAAAATCGAAGAACTTATTTTCTGGTGGTCTGAAAACCATGGATACAATATCATATTGGCTGCCATGGCTCATTGTATCAGGTGCTGAGCGGCTGAAAGGTAATGGGGCGCGACAAACTGCATCGTCGAATTCTATAAGCATCGGGGCAAAACTTTGTTTGGCTTCGGTTTGTTTGCTTCCAAAAAGTTCAGTCCATGATAGTCTCTGTACACTTATACGACCGTTTGCTAATGGATTAAAAATACTGGCGACTGGCGGAACAACGTCATCTTCGAAATTGTATCTAAAACCAAAAAATTACTTATAATATTAAAAGTATACTAAATCTTCTTCTTCTTAGGGTGCCTGTCCGTTCCGAACGTTGGCGATCATTCTGGCTATGATGATTTTGTTGGTTGCTACACGAAATAGCTGTGTTGAGGTCTTTCTATACCATGCTCTCAGGTTAGCAAGCCAGGATATTCTTCTTCTTCCTGGGGCTCTTTTTCCTTCAATTTTACCCTGCAAAATGCATTGGAGTAGCTCGTATCTGCCTTGATTTCTCATAATATGTCCCAAGTACTCCAGCTTACGGCTCTTCACAATGTTGACCAAATCCGCGGTTGTGTTCATCCTCCGCAGTACTTCTTCATTGGTGACTTTGTCTGTCCATGGTATCTTCAGGATTCTTCTGCATAACCATAATTCAAACGCCTGAAGTTTTGATAGAGTTTCCGCCTTCAATGTCCACGTTTCTACTCCATACAGAAGCACTGAGTATACGTAACATTTAAGGAGATTTATTTTTGTTTTCAGGGTGAGGTCATGGCTTTTGAACACAGAGCTCATAGCCAAGAATGCACTTTTGGCCTTTCCGATGCGACATTTAATCTCTTGGGTATTGTCCCACGGCTCATTGATTATAGTTCCCAAGTAATTGTATTGTGAGACACGTTCAATTCTCATTTGGTTCACATACAGATTTGCTCCAGTTATGTTTTGCTTTCTGATGATCATTAGCTTGGTTTTGCTGGTGTTTATATCCAGTCCATAGGTTCTACTTGTTTCTGATATTTTGTTCATTAAGTTTTGCAGCCCTTCTATGGTATTGGAAAACACTATTGTATCATCTGCATACCGCAGGTTATTAAACTTGACTCCATTTATTGAGATATTGAATACTATAAATACTTGAGTGCAAAACAATCGAGTCAAAACCGATATTTGAGATTACACCATGATTATATGGCACATGAGATTATATAGATATTTGTAATGTGCAAACAGTATTATTAATATTTAACTTACAAAAACTGCTATTTCTTTGTTTGGAAGACGCATTATAAAAACAATATGCAACACGAACAACGTTTTTCAAATATTCATCACTGGTACTATCCCAAAAAAGACGTAATGAACAGAGAAATCATCAATTACAAAATGAATTTTTTGTTTTCAGTATCTGATACTACCATCCCTATTTCTAATTATACTTTCCAATCGATTTCGCATGGATCGGATGACTTTTATAATAAATTCTTAAGGCATTTCTTCACGTTCATAATTAAGAGCAGCTCTCGATGCCATTATGCTCCTTGGTGCATGATTTCTGCTCCGGGCCCTTCGTTTAAGCTCATCCCAAACATGCTCTATTGGATTTATGTCCGGGCTCAACGCAGGCCAATTTATTCTAGGTATACCGATCTCAGTCAGATAGGTGGTGGTAACTTGTGCGGTATGACATCGTGCATCATCATGCAATAAAATAAAGGCATTACCAATAAATCCCGCCTATGGAACCACAGGTTCCTCCAAAATATCTCTGATGTAACGATCCGCCGTTAAACTTCCTCCACGTCCCTGACCAGGCACGAAAACCAGTTCGGTTTTCCCATCCATGGAAATGCCTACCCGAAACATACAAGAAACGCCTCCATATAACATTTGAATTTCTCGTATACAACATTGAGCAAATTATTCCCCTGGCCTTCTATAAACTCGACGCCTCTTGTCGTTTCCATGTATACAGACCCTACTTTCGTCGGAGAATAATACCTGACTCCATTGATAGTCAACCCAATCCTGATGTTCGCGAGCAAATTCTAGTCGTCTTTGCTTCTGGGCTGCAGTTAGATTGGGACCAGTAGCTGCCCTTTTTGGTGTCAGGTTGGCTGCTTTCAGTCTCCTTCTGACTGTCCAAACGCTGGTAACCACACCTCGGACCTCTCTAAGCTCTTCTTTGAGATTAGCACCAGTCGAATGTCGATTTCTCGGAGATTTAGATACAAGAAATTAATAATCTCTCCCTATTGTCATTCATTTACGAGCTCCTCCTTGTCGGAGGCCATTATCACCAGTATCTTGGTACCGATGATACACTCGGAACACAGCAGATTGACTTAAATTTAGTCGATTTGCCACGGCTATCTGGCTCAGGTCTTCTTTCAGTAATGCTACTGCTTGAGCTGCTTTGACGGATGTGGTATCCATTTGTTATGAAGTTGCGAACTTAATTGACTGATGTATTAGTGGGTTGCTATGGAAATTGATGCTTACGGCACAGAATAATAAACAAACAGAATGCCCACTCTCCATGGAAAATTACGTACGCGCATCTCCTTCGCGCAGACGTTCCGCCATGTTTTAAAGGGAACCAGTATTGTTTATGTGGTGTGCATAGAAAAATTAGCCTGGTTTAATTGACTTACGGCAATCATAGATATACAATACAATTATATTAACATTGTTAAATATAATAACATAAATATAATATAATTAAACATAAATATAAACAATTACATAACCTCACAAATCATATGTCTGTGTGGTGTTTCCTTCTAAAACATGGCGTGCGTGCTGAAAAACTTCAAAGGCGGCATCTGAGAGTGGGCATTCTGATTGTTTATTATTCTGTGCTTACGGTGTTAACCAAATGTGTTAAGTGGGTGCGTGTCAATTTCAATGGGTCAAATTATGACCCCCCTCTACGTGTTGCATTATTTATTTATTTATTTGTAATACGTCACCCGATTTACCAAAAATTAAAACTTTTTTTAAACACAACAATGAGGTTAATAATTTTACACTAAATATTTTTAAATTTACACCTTTTTTTATTGAAAGAGGAGACGTACTTTCGCAAAATAATTTTGAGTCGATATTTTGGCACTAGTGTAGTATAAATAATTTATTTAGATTTCCTTATTCGTTTTCTTATACATTTTAGAAGAATACAAGAAAGTTACAAGTTCAAATAAATTACGATATTGGCTGTAGTAATTTGTAAAATGTAATGTGAAGCATTTATAATTTTGTAAGACCGTTATAAAAAATACTTTCTTTAAAACTATATTTGTAGATAACGTATAACTTTTTTAAATTTTTAAATTTTTAAAATTTAAATATTTTTATAATTGTATAAATAAATTTTATTTAACGATTTTTTATAGATTTTAATAATATTGAAAAAGTTAACATATTGTATGACATATCGCCCTCGTCGCTTAAATGGACTCTTCCAACATTTATGGTGACTGCAAACCACGAACCGCTACAGCATTTTACTATAGAGGAAAGATAAAACAAGGCCTGTATAGAAGTTTCGCTTTAATATGAAAAAAATCGTGTCATTATTTTACACTATAGTTTATTTTTATGAATGAGAGAGTAATTAGCATAATTTTAACTGGTATCTCCGATCACTCCATGGGCGTGCTCAAGATTAATTGAAAAATTACTTTGAATAATTGTAAAAAATAAATGAATTATTTCAGGGTTATAAAGTGTTATGTGTATGTAAACAAAAGTGACCTCTTTTATCACACACTATATTAGAACTGACTGGCCTACATTAAAAAGGGTTTTAAAAAATTCACATTTTTTTAAATTTTTATAAATTACAAAAGAGAAAAAGAGTTTTTAAAACCGTCTAAGGTATGTTAAATAGATGAATAAAAATATTAATATAAAACTTACAGCTACTTGTTACAAATCCAAATCAGATTCAGAAGATGAACTTTCAGAACCAAGATTTATAACAACTGGCTCGATCATTTTATCAGTAATATTGTCCAGCTTCCACATTTTTTCCTCTTCTTTAATAGTGTGATTTACTGCCTTTTCCCAGTTTTCAGGTTTTACATTATTTACGGCCTCCAAAAACAACTGTTTAACATCATGAATTTTAAAAGTGGTATTTTTTCTTGAAACTTTACTCTTTATCTGTGCCCATACCAGTTCAATCGGTTTAATTCACAATGATATGGTGGGGATCTAAGTACTGTCATTCCACGATTTTTGGCAATTTCATCAATTTCGTATTTTTTAATTTTTTCTTTATGAAGGGCACACAAAGAATAAAGTTCCTTTCTTATAGATCCGGGATGGTACGTAATATTTTTTGAACTCAGCCAATTCTGCAAGTCTTTTTTAACCACTTGGTTGTGGGCAGTCCTTCTATAAGTCTGGAATGATAACTTGCATTATCCTTTACTATTACACAGTTCTTAGGAAGAAGATCTATCATTAGTTCGAACCATTCTTGAAAGACATCAGCGTTCATGTCTTCATGGTAGTCATCGGTACGAGTTGATTTAAAAGTTAATAAACCACCTTCAACAAAACCGTCTGAACTGCCAATGTGTACTATTATCAGCCTGCGTCCCTTTCCTGATGGTGGGTTTAAACCAGTAGATAAGTTATTTACAAAAGCGTGCCTTTGACTTGTAACAGTTTCATCCTGCCAAAATTTATTTGGTGTATGACCCTCGTTGATCCATGTTTCATCAAGATAAAATATTTTTCTTTTTGGTTTCTCATTTCCTTTATGGTTCTTAGAAAATGTCTTCTCCATATGACAATATCGCTTCTTTCTAATAAAATAGACTTTCTGGGATTCTGTTTCCAGCGGAAGCCTATTTCTTTTAAAAGTTTCCATAACGTACTTCGACTCATTTCTGGGTAATCCTTATCATCTCGAACTGAGACAAGAACTTTATCCAATGTTGGAAATTCTTGTCTAAAGAAGAATTCATGCACTTTCCGTCGAAGTCCTTCTTTAAAATGATATTCTATTTGAAATTTTGGTTTTCCTAGAGCATTACGTGGCATTTGAAAACTACCACATTTCTCTTCTTTAGTAACTCTGTAAATCGTAGATTTTCCAACACCAAGTGTACTGCTAACTAACTCAACGGTCTCATCAACACTTTCACATAAACGTTTGTCTGTAAATGATTTAAAACAATTAAATATTAACCCTCTCACGCATTGAGTCCACTGCAGTGGACAGATTCTTTTAACTCC